TCCAGCCAAATTTCATAATTAGCGTTGCATGGTCTTCGGCGGCTACTGTAGATGGCTCCGATCAGGCGCCCAATCCAATAAGTTGGCGAACAAGTCCATATATCAAGAAAGTGCACGAACGTGTTCAAAGACACCCGAAGAAGCACCAAATCTAAGTGGCGCACAAACCAAAGACTACACTGCGAAATCAGTTTGTATATCCTACGGATAAGGTTGGTTATTAGGACAAAAAAGTCGTTTACAAGATTCCTAGTGACCAATGCAATGCAGTTTAATGAGGGCAGACAGTAAAATCAGCCGGGACACGTTTGAAGGAACACCAAGTAGCGGTTAGGAGGCGAAATCACTTGTCCCAGGTCACCATACACCCGCTAGAAACTGGGCACAAATTCGCATGGTACCAAACTTGCATTGCTGGTTCTTGCCAATCTAGGAAAGATCGTGAGTCTTTAGAGGCCATCAACCCCGATGACTCGTGATGTAATAGGCACGTCCAATTAGATGCTATGTTCCGCAATCTGAAGGAAGCATGGAAAAGGCGGCAACAAAACCGGACTAGAGGCTAACCAACAGAACCCGCTATTGACCAAACATAACAAGCATCATCGATTTTTCCGGTGTGTTGGAAATTCTCTCTAAACATCTGACGACGACGGCCTGGTGTGCTAGTGTTGAAAATTCGCTATAAAGATTTTGTTTCTCAAATGACTTCTCCTAGCGAATAGGAAAATAGTGTCACTGAATAGCCGACTAGGTAGAGCTGGCTGAGAAATTAAAGCACAGAGGGCGCCGACTCCGCAAACAGGACAGAATAGAAAGTAAGATATAGATTGAAACTGACCATACCATGACTGACCGAACATGTCTTAGCACGTGAGCCACTCACCTCCTTGAGTTTTTTACGGCGTCGAACGGCAGCAAAGTAGGGATTACTCCAAGGTCCGGCCTGCTTAATGCCATTGGGATTGTGTTTCAGACTTTTGTGTCGTGCCAATCCAGCGCGGGAACTGAATGACTTCTCGCAGGCTGTGCAGTCATACGACCGAGCTGAACAAAACGAAAGAAAGAGTTGGTATTACAAACTTAAAGGAAACAGAAAATTGCTACTTATTAGGAGCCAGTAGTAATAACAATTAAAGTAGAAAGACAAGGCCTACGTTTTGCAGCGCCGTCGGAGGTATCGTCGGAGAGACCCGCGTTTATGTAGTCT